TTTAAGTAACGTTCTCAAAATAAAATACATTCACCACCAAATAATCAATTGGGAGGAGCTAAATAACAAAAAAATTACCCAGTGTCAGAAATGTCAACACGCGACACGAAACAGTTTCATGGATTACCGTTGCGTTAAATACAACAGACCCCACGAACCAGGATAGCGCAAGATTTCAAAAACAGATAAAGTAGAAAAAGGAACAATATACCGTGTATATTGCAAAAAATACGGACACAATGCATCATATAGAGTATGTCCAATGTTTATCATATGAAACTTAAACTGCGAATTCAAAACAACAAACAGAAAGTAGAAAATAAGATTATAAGCATAGCCAAAAAAGTTAACCCCAACATTTCATATTCATCGCTAGTTAAAAATTCAAATATCAACGAAAATGAAAATGTAAACACTGCTGCTGGTAAACCTAACAACATGTATAATAACCTTTTCGTCCTCGAACAAGGTTACGGTCTTCCACCAGCCAGGTCTTTAGGGTCAGAATAATTCAACATCGGAATTTTCCTACCCATGCCTTCTGCGTGTTTGAAAACTTTTACTTTTATTACGAATTCTCGTGTCGCTGAACACGAGAAATCCATGAAAACCGTAATTTAATGAAATTAGGCGACGGCGCTTAAGACTTGGCTGACCCGAGAACTCCACATGGTCCGCACACGTTGGGAACTTCATAAATAGCCGATTGGGTCACCATCGCGCGGGTGGACCTCGCGTACCTCAGCTTCACGGAGAGGGTTCCCTCCACCACCGTCATCGTGGAGGACCTTCCCTTCCTTCAAGGTGACCGATATGCGGACCAAGAGAATGCTCTTGGACCAACTAGCCAATAACATTTGGCGAGTTTCCGATTTTTCCTAACCCCGATCTTAAGAAAATCAAGCACAGTTCTAAACGAAATCTCAACGGGAACAGTTCGAGCCTGCCAATTGAGACCTCCAAGAGTCTAAGCGTCGTTATGGCCAAGAGATTGAGCCGTACCTGACGTACATGGATAGAGTGCTTGAGTTTTTGTTCATGGTAAGCATGTCTTGTTTATAATGGATGCGAATGCGGTCTCACCCTTGTGGTTCGGCGTGGGTGATGGTCACAGTGTGATGAAGAAAATGCGTGGAAGAAGGCTTGAGGAATGGGTGTTGGCTAAAGGAATGGTCGTGCTGAATGAACCGAGCGAGTAGTTTACTTTTTCTGGTGTGAATGGACAGAGTGACTGTTCATTCCCTACAGACATTTTCATTTCACAGACCCTTACAACACCCCAACCATCACCCAATCTAATCCTCAATAAAGACGCAAATCCTCCATAAATAAATAAATAATTAACTCGCATCCTTTGAACCTCTACCTCCATCCAAAAAAAATTGATAACAAAATTTGATAACAAACTGTGGTAAATACTTGTTACGGAAACAAATCGCTTCGCATATCAGACAATGCTCGACGAGTATAAAAGCCGGAAAGTGGACGACAACTGGTATCCTGTTACCTTAGATGAAGTAAAGGCCTACTGTGCACTACATATTTTGATGAGTCAACTAAAAAAATCAAATGTCCAACTGTATTGGACTACAAGAGCAGCAGTAGTAGAAACGCCAATATTTAGAAAAACAATGCCTTTAAAGAGATTCCGGCAGATTTCGAGATTTTTACATTTTTTGCATAATGAAACTGCTGATGGTAGTGACCGACTTCGAAAGGTAAGACCTATCATCAACCTGTGGAATGAAAAATTTAAAGAAATTTACACACCCAATGAATATGTCAGCATAGACGAATCCTTGATGAAATATAAAGGACGTTTAGCATACAAACAATTCAATCCGTCGAAAAGAACTCGATTTGGATTAAAAATTTACAAATTGTGCGAGGCAAGTACCGGTTTCTGTCATGGATTTAAAATATATACCGGTCAGGACAAAATTGATTCAAATGACAGTGCGTCGGAGAACGTTGTGACGGAGTTGTCAAAATCTATAATAAACAAGGGATATACTTTGTTTCTGAACAACTGGTACTCTTCACCCGACCTATTTTTAAAATTACACAAGAAAAAGACAAATGTTATCGGGACGGTACGCAAGAATAGGAAAAATGTGCATGTTGCAATAATTTGGTAGCTCTGATGAGATGGAGGGACAGGCGCGACGTGTATATGATGATATCAACAAAGCACGAAAGTGTAGAGATGGTTGAGCAATCAGACAAACAATTGCAGAAAGTAACGAAGCCTAAACGTATCGTGGAATATAA